GCCCCAAATGGGGGCAACTCAAAGGGAACGATAGGAAGGACTGGCGGCCCATCATCTTCACTGACATGACCGACCGAAAGATCATCCCCCCCTATATCCGGCAAACTATCCTCAGACATTGCACCACGAAGAGGTCGTTAACCAGGCAAAGACAGGAGCTGGCGATAACACGACTGCACCCAATGGGTGGCAGCACCAAAGCTGGTCCAATCAGACAGCGTGAGATACAGAAGAAAACGGGCCCCTTCACGCCGACTAACAAGGAGGCCACGGAAACTGGGCTCAACAATGTAGCTGAAAATATCAGGTGGTGCGTCCAAGCAGCGCTGAAGTGCAGGCACGTGAAAGTGCAAAGGTCGAATGCGCACGGGCACAAAAACAAAGGAGGGCACAGGCACCCGGAAATCGTCGGAAGACGATGTGGAGGCACTTGATGCAGACAGGTCCATCCACTTCCCGATCGCGGGAAGCTTGCACGAAACTAAAGCCTTAGCACCTCGTTAAGAGCCACTAGACTAGAACACGGCCTCCAGTCTCAAAATTTTTGGCACTGAGCTGCAGAGCCAGTGCTGCACACACATCTTCCTGCACATGCAATTGCAAATCGTCGTTGGCATACCAAGCAAGACAAGCATCAGAAACTTTTGGGCATCAAACCAAGACCAAACGGCACCCCGTTTTTCTTAGAGACAATTTGGCAGCAAACGATAAAACACCATTCGCTCGCGAACAGTAAGCTAGACATCCTTGCGTCAGACCAATGCTTTTAGAGACTTCTAGAAATACCGTTTCCTTCCACAAAGAGGACCTTTCAGGCCCTTCGTGGGTTAACAGCAAACCCTCGTTCGAGGCATCGTCGCTTGCGGAAACGCAGGTACCTCAAGGGGCAGCCTGAGCTACAAAGCGTAGACAAATGCGCAAAGACACGGACCTTTCCCTGCTTCAGGACTCTTAAGATCTCTTCAAGAACAAGAAAGGTGTTCTTACTCAGAAGATTGATTTCCCGAGTCACTCCGAAGTACGCTATGCCTTTCTCTCGAGCACACGCTCTCGCTATAGCACTCGACTCTTCGCAGCAAAGCTCCAGAACGACAAGCGACACTGTTCCTCTAGCCACTGCCGTCGCGGCTTCCATCCAAGAGCTCGGAACCTCCAGCGGAGAGGACCTTACTGCGTTCGAAGATACTTCCTTAGTGGTATTGGGCTCATCTTTTACTTCTTCGACGTTTTCTTCGGAGATCGACGACCACGATTCTGGCTCGTTAATGAGGCCAGCGGCCTCACAAAGACTGACCAAGTTCTCCGCAGTTGGGGACTTCGTTAGAGCATCTGCGGGGTTGAGCTTCCCCGGTATATACTCCAGCGTCAATCTTTCCTTGGCGACTACTTGTTGGAGAAAAGCCGCTCTCAACTCTATGTGGCGGACTTTCCTAAGGAGGGTACTCATTTGTGCTATGGACAGGGCGCTTTCAGAGTCCCCATACACGTGCAACTGATATCGGCCTTCCTCCGAATCAGAAGGCATTCCCTCCACCATCGTCTGCACCAACAGAGATATATACAATCCCTCTCTTGCGATTTCAGTCAGCGCTGCTAGCTCAGCTTCTGCCGATGACAGAGCTACGGTCGTCTGTTTCCTACTGAACGTCTTCAAGCAACAGTTGTTCCAGGTCACAATTCCACCACTCACAGAGTTCAAACCCCAAGACGCGTCAACAAAACACGACACTGACTCCCGGTCCTCATCACGGGCTAAAAGCTCTCTACGTGAGGGGAACACTTGGACCTTATGCGGTAAACCAGACACCCACCTCAGAACATCCCTCATACAAGCTTCGGCTGCGTCATTGGGGGCTGACTGGTGTCTTCCTAGAAAACCGCATACATACTGCAAATCAGGTCTTGAAAGTGACGCCCAGGCTAGGCGTCCCAAGGTACGCCTATAGCGCTCGTGCGCCTCTGGCGTAAGAGGTGTGTCCTGTCCTTTCTTGATGAGGTCGGCATACCGCCGCTCTAATGGTGGAAGCTTCGGCGCCACCTTAGTGATTCCGTACTCCTCACAGCAAGACCTCAAGCACTTAGCGTCCAAGCCAAAGTATACGCAGGGCTCTCCGGTCTTCTTCCGGAAGATCCTACGTCCCAAGAAAGACACCTCACCTGGTTTTCCTTCCAAGAGCTCACCTGTTAGCTTAAGCTTGTAGCGTTTCTTCAGGTCTTCATACACCTTTCGAGCTTCGGCGGTGTTCTCGGCCCAAATCAACAGATCGTCAACATAAAAGAGGACAATCACCAAACCATTCTTGGTTTTCTTGCGGAAGATTGTAGGGTCCAAGATCTGCTGGAATCCTTGGTTTCCCAAGTACGCCGACAGCTCCTTGTACCAAGAAAGCGGGGCACTTCGAAGCCCGTTCATGGCACGAAACAGTTTCAGGAAGACCCTTTCGCCAGTCTTTGCGTTTCCTATGTTACTCGGAAGCTGCACAAACTCCGGCCGCGCAATAGCGGCGTGCATGAAGGCTACCGAGACGTCACAGGACAGCACAGACCCTTTTCTACATAGAACAGAAAGTAGGAGCCGCAGCCCTTCCAGGCTGGTGGTAGGAGAATAAATCCCCTCAGCGAGCGTTGTGCCGCCCATAGCGGCAAAATCGCGGACAACAAGTCTAGAGCGGTAAAGACCAGGCTTCTTAACCGTATTGACCCAATGGCTCGACAGAACTCTTCTTCCGCTCTCTTTAGCAAGTCTGTACGCTTCTCGCTCGCTCACCGCTTCTCCTACGTTGAACGACTCCAATTCTTCTAGTTCCAGTTTCATGGACAGATAGAGGAGTTTGGGATCTAACAGCTCACCAGAGGTCTCTGAAACAGCTTGCTGTGGGACCTGACAACAGATTCTACTCCCTCCAAACTTAAGCTCAAAGGAAGACGCCGCTTGATTGCTCACGGCGCGGCAATCAGGTCCTTCGCCTAGCTTCTGAAGATAATGATCCGTCAACCAGTCTATTTCCATGTCCTCCATGTCGGGCGTCACCTCCGGCCTCCCAGTCATGACCCTCAGATTTCCTCTTCTTTTGGAACAATGGGTTCCGCAGGCGGTTCAAACAGCAACGGCTTTTCTGGGTCCTGCGTATCAAGCACAAGAGGATTAGCTTTAGCTAACAGCTCCAACGTTGGGCTGTCGTACGTGGGTTCGTCCCGTTCAAAGATCCCTGACAGTCCCATACACACCTCCACCTCTAGGATGGACGGGGCCCAGATAGCTCACTCGAACCGTCTTGGCTCCCCGGAACTTTTCTAGATGTCGTTTGGAACCGCCAACTTTAGCCTGCGCAGAACAGCCGAAGGGAAGCGTCCTAGTCCTTTGGACTATCTCCTCGTGCAACCTGTCTATTGCTGTGGTACTATTGTTGCTGTCAAAGTTCCACAAGTTGAAACTGCGTGCGGCGTACAGCAAACAAGTCTGCCACAACATTCCACCTAAAGGTAACTGCCAAGCAGCGCCACCTTCTTCAGCAGGTCGTCGACGCTGTATCTCCGCCTCTAGGTCGAGCCATATCGACCAAAATCCCTGCTTCATCGCAGAGACCTGCCTTTCCACAGCACCTTTAGACTGCGGACGGTATCCTGGCACAACATCTACAATCGTAGGGTTCTCGCGCCTCTGCGCCGCGACCCTCTCGCACATGGATATCAGACCCTGTTCGTTATCGCACCGAAACGTTAAAGTCTTTTGGTGCAATCCAATTTCGCGGATAAACCGATCGATATTGAATAACAAGTTCGGGTCGTGTAATTCCATTGCGGGGATAGACATTGAGTACCAGGACGCAACATGTACGAGAAGAAGAACCCTCAGTTTCCCAAAATAATAGAAATCGACCCCAATGGTTTGATTCTCCTTCTGTAGCTGCCTCTTCAGTCTCCTGGCCGGGACTTTGCCTTTGCTAGAGCAGCAGCTTTCGCAGTTCACATCATAGGGAAAATGACCTCGGGATCGATGTACCTGAAGAGCATGGCTTCTCAGGGGAATCCTTTCTTCGATCTCCTCTCCTTGTGGAATTGGGGCTTCAGGAGGTTGTTCCGGGTTTTGTGGGGAACGATTCGGTTGGTTTGAGGAAGACGGTGGTTCACCACCATCGCGGTCCAAGATTAAGGGATCAGAGCCTGTGCCACTTCCTGGAAGGGGCAGCCCTCTGAGCATCCGCAGATGCCCAGTCACTGGCTGCTTTAAGCCTCCTTCCGGCACTCTCTCATCATTTCCCTTCAACACAAAGCATGCCACATCAAGACAACATGCCAAAACATGCCAAACATGCCGCACGCAAGCTAACAACTTTAAGGTTTTGGGCTTTCCCTTAGTTGGGGCTTTCGGGCTTTTCCTACCAACCAGCAAGATCCGTTCTACGCAAACACGCTTGAAACATTTTCGGGTTCGAATACGAATCCAGCATCCTCCTTTTCGGGGTTTCAACTTCCACAATTTGGGATTTTCCTTTGGGGCTTTCCTAAGCACCTTGCATAGCCCTTTCCAAAAGGCCGAAACAACGACCCCAACCAAGGCACTGAAGATCAGAACGAGGAATCCCAGCGCGATGTCGATGACCACTCCTGGAATTTTAGCGGACCGCCTGGCGTGAAAGCGGAAAGGGGTTCTTTCTACTCGGGGCTTTGGACCTCCAAGTTCTCCTAGGGGTCCTACCTCTAGATGCCTTTTACCTTCTGGGGCCTCAAGGCTAATGTTCCCAAGCCAAAAGGTTTCCATGCAACAACAAGTCAAGCATGCCAAGCTCAAGCCACTCCATGCCAAGGTTCCATGCCACTCAAAATCAAGAACATGCACAAAACAAGGCACTGCCAATGGTTTTCTCGGCTTCAGGCTTTCGGGCAAAATAGCAAGTCGGCCCTTTGTCTTTGACAAACAGCTTACAAGCCCGGAGGATCCGGGGGAAACGAACTGCTGGAGCCTCGAAGCTGGCTCTCCGAAACAGCTATCGTCTCTCTTACACTGGAGCTCTGGATTTGGTGGAATCCGTCGTGGGGACCTCGAGCGCCTTGGCGAAACTGACACTCGGCTTTCCGGCGTTGGAGGCACAGACCGTGGAGTAGGTGGCAAACCAACTTCTGAAGGATCCAGAAGCCTCCAGGCTTCGAAGTTGCTCTCTCCGGAAACCGACGCCGGAGGGCGCGGAGGCAGCCGAAAAGCTGGGATCGGCGGCGGCGTCGGGACCGCCAACGGTGGAACGAATGGAGGCTCCGGAGTTCCCACCGGCTCCCCCGGCACAATGTGGAGGTTCCAATAGTCGGCCCCCGTGATTTCCCGGGGCTCCGATGGCTTTCCACGAAGCTCGTTGAGGATACTCCGCCCCATCCATCCAAGGTCCTCGTACGACCTGCTCAGGACCAACAAACCACCTGAGGAGGAAGACTCCGAATCGCTTCCACCATCCGGAGGTCGGGCTGCCGCCTTGGAGCGGGCAGCTTTCGTGGACGCCCGATATTCCTCCAGGGAGTAATGCTCCTTGGCCTCGTTCTTGATCACATTTCCAATCACTTCCCAGATGCATTTCTGTATCCACATCGGAGTGTTTTCCGACGTCACCCTTTCCGCATGGCCAATGTCGTACTTCTCGTTGTGCTCCTGGTACAAGTTCACCAACCCAAGGAGGTGCAAGGCAAAGTTGTGGCCTTGCTGAAGGTGGTACGACATCGGAAGCAACTTGGGGTGCACGGACTTGTTGGAGATCAAAGATTCCCCAAGTTGATTCACAACGAGGGTAATGACCTTCAAGCTGCATCCAAAATCCACGGCAGAAGCAGCCTGGGTAAGTTGGGAAAGGATCTGCTCGTGGTGGTCCTCCAACTCGGTGGTCATACATCCCACCGAGGTCATCTCGATCGGTCGTTCGGGTTGTTCCAAAGGAGGTTCGCGAAGCAACCACCTGAGCTCTTGTTCCTTTTGAGGGAGACAACCATGAGCCCAGGGTACATCCTCGGTGGATCCATACGGACAGAAAATGACTTCTCCATCCTCCACAGGAAGAGCAGGCACTGCACTTCCAACCACCATTTCCTCCAAGTATCCCGGCACGGTCATAGCCTTGCTCAAGAGATTCAAGGCTCGCCAATCAAATCCCTGCACGATGGGATAGGCTGCTGTTCCTTCTTGTGCCACCAGTAAGTCCAGCTCTGACCTTGTTCTGCATATAGCTCTTCTTGTCGCCGCACAAAAGTGCGTACTCGAGAGTGGCTGGCCCAATCGCCCCACGAGTCCTCCTCCAAATCGATACGCCGTGTAGGAATAAGAGGAAATTGCTCCTCCATCGAGGGCAACATTCGAGAGCGGGCAGCCAGAGCAATTGACATGTGGATGCCTTCTTTGCTCTCTCCATGACGCTGCTCTTCTTCGGCAGCTTCCATCCTTGCCCTTTCTCCCTCCTCGATACCTTCTTGTTCTAGCCTTTCGGCTTCTGCAAGATGATGGTAGAACTCCGGTGTTGGTGACCGAGCTGGCGTAGGAGAACGCGCAAACTGTTGAGGAGCGTCGTCCACCGAGGCAACACGCGCCCCCATGATCTCTACCAAGGGACAATTGGGACAGTCCAAAATACTGTTCGGCCAAAGCTTGCTCCGTTCGTTCAAAATCAACAAGTGCAAAACACCATGCCGAAAAACATGCCGCACCACATGCCAATAAACATGCCACAAAACATGCCAATAAACATGCCACAAAACATGCCACAAAACATGCCACAGGCCTTTCAACAGGCTTCCTAATGAGTTGAGGGGTTCGTTTGGGCTGTTCTTTGGGCACTTCTTTGGGCATTTCGGGCAATTTAAGGGTGTTCTCAGGCACTTTCGGGGTGCTTTTGGTGCATTCTTGAGGCACTTCAGGGACCACTTTCGGGGATACTTCGGCTCTAAGCCCTCGCAACAAGAAAGCAAACGGCGTCTCAAGCAAAGCATGCCGGCAATCACCGCTCTCTCTTCCTTGTGGCTTCTCGACTTCCGCCTTCTTTCCTCCTGTCGTCGCTTTCTTGAGGATGCTCGGTCCTGGCTGTGGCTTAACAACAGAGTCCTGCAGGCAGGTAATCGCGTCTATTTCCATGTCCGAGCCCGAAGGCTGGCGTGGAGAACGACCTTTCCCCGCTTTCTGGCGGCGACCCCCGCTCAAAGCCCACCAAGCCCGATTAGCGGATACGAGTTTCACGTTGCGTTTGCCTTTGTACAACCTAGACCCGGTTTTGTAGAGATACGTTCTCCAGCCTTTCTCCACCGCCGCCCAGGGACTAATGGCGTTAAACGTAACTTCCGCAACGAGAACCTCCGTCAAAAGAAGGCTACAATCACCGAAGACGACCTCTAAGTCGACGACGCCTGATACGGGGATCTTCCCTCCTGAAGCGTTGTACAGAGTGACCTCTCTCTCATGACTCATGAGTCTTCACCACCCTGAATCCGCTGAGGTGTTCCGAGGAAACCACGTGACACGTGGCTCCAGAATCCACTAACCAGACGTCTCTCGGTTCTAGCTGGAAGCTGGCGCAGATGCGCTCTACATCCCCTGCAGTCAAAGAATTGCTAACAGGTCCCAATCGTTGCTTGTCGAGTGAAAAACCTACCCTACGCTCATGCGACTCAGAAAGGCTCAGTTCAGGACTTCGTTGGGCAAAACGCATCGCCATCACACTCTGTGTCGGCTCTGCTTCCGCCTCGGACTCTGGTTCTCCCATAGCCCGGGCGCGGTTTTTCTTCTTCTGCTTCTTTCCTTTGCCCTTTCCTTCGCCCTTCTTTCCTTTTGCACCCTTGTCTCCCTTGGAGGTGGGCTTTCCTTTCGGCGTTGGAGAGCGAGGAGCTCCCTTCGGAGTGGGGGACCTTTGTCCTTTGGGGCCTCCAGTGCCCTTTCCACTCTTCGACTCTCCCTTGCCGCCTTTCTCACCAGCCTCACGCTGTCGAGACCAACAATCCTTTGCCACATGACCATGCTTGCCGCAATGGTCGCAAAGCTTGCCGTCCATTCCACGGTTCGCTGCAGTCGGCACGTCGCACATCCTCAGCTGTTCTTCGAAGTACTTGAGGCTCTTCGTGAGCTCACTCCAGCTGTTGGCGTTGCCGTGCAGCGCCACGTACTGTCTCGCCGGATGCGAAACGGCCTGTAGCAGGATGGAACAGCGATCTGCTTCGGAGAGCTTCAACTCGGGGAAGTTGCTCAACTTGATCTCCGCCTTGGCGATTTCGTCCTCCAAGTGTCTGATGATGTCCATGGGCTTCTTGAGCCCCGAACATTGTGCATGCAACTTCATGCAACCGTCTCTCACGTAGACGGCTTCCATTCGAGACACAATGGAGTAGTTGAGGTGCAGGGTGCGAACTGCCTCGTAGCCGGTAGCAGACATGCTCTGCCTTTTGCTACAGCTTCGAAGCAACTCCAAACCACGCTCCCACTTCGCCAAGCTCTGCGACAGCAGGTAAAACAACTTCGCCGACCGAGCTGCAGTGTCAGGAGGCAAAAGGTCCTGTCGGATCTCGTCCTTGACGCCAACGCAGAGACGAATCTCGTTCACGTAGGCTTCGTCCTGCAGGGCCAACCAAGAGCTCAGCGTCTCCAGGAAGCTGTGCCAAGCTTCAATCTCCCGCATGCGGTCTCTACCCATCTCTTGGTGGGCTATAACCGGCAACTGCGGAAGATACTTGTCGGCACGGTTGGAAACGTACCCTCCAGTTGAACTCCCAGCTTCCTTGGGCACCGAAGGTGGAGTATAGCTAGGGACACCGGTTCCTGCAGCAGACGTTGCTGCCACAAGAGGGGCAGATGCCGATTTCTTCTCGGCCTTTGCTTTGGCTTCGGCAGCCGCAGCTTCTGCCTCATCTCTTCTCTTCTCCTCACTGTCCATGCGACGAAGCATGGTCGCCACAAGTTGCTGGTTCTGCTCCAACTGTCGACGGTACTGCTCCATCAACGCTTCCTGGTTTCTCTGCTGGTGCTGCATCATCCGCAGCATCTCAACCACCAAGCTTTCTCCCACAGCACCTACACCAGATGCACCGGCAGGCTGAGAACTTGCAGCTGGTGTTGCAGACGGAACTCCTTGGGTTCCAAACAGCAAAGCCTCCTCCTCGGGTGTGTTGTCAGGGACTGGGACTTGCTCAGGAGGCAACGCCCCGTGCACTGGAGAACCCTGTGGGCTTCCATGCACACTTCCGCCTTGCTCTGGAGTCGCCATGTGAGGTACTTAACACAGGCGCTGGGGTTACTCTCAGTGCTTCGCTACCATGTGAAAAGCAGAGCTCGCGCAGCAGTTTCTTTTTCACTTTGCACTTGAGCCAAACAAAGTGTTCAGCAAGCTTCAGTTCTTGCAGCAAGCTCTCTCCAAGAGCTAAGGGCTCCAAAAGCCACGAATTCCATCTCAACTTGTTCTACAAGAAGGTAAAGCAAAAGAACAATGCAACTGCTTTGGTCTACACCTCGGGGACTTCAGGTCACTTCCGAACAGCGAAGCTTCAGAGTCCACTCTTCCATCCTGCACGTCCAACGAACGAAGTGGCGGAACGGAGATTTGCAACAAGACAGAACCTCAGAGTTCTGACACGTGTAAAAAACGCAGAGCTCTTTTTTCACTCCACGCTGAAGCCAAGGTGTTCGGCAAGTCTCTTGCAGAGATGAAGGTGTACAAATTAAGATGAAAGTGAAGCTGCGCTGACCCAACAACACAAGACATGTGTTGTAGTTAACCCAAACATGCTTTAGGAACTTTGGCAAAACCAAACATGCTCATGCCAAGTCATGCAGAGGAAAAACTCTCATGCTTCTCTCTGCATGGTCGAACACCACATAGCACCAACTGGACAAACGTGAATTTTTGCACATAAAGCTCAAGGTAAACTCTTAAGCTTTGCCTTGCAGTTTGCCAGATAAACCCAGCCGGCATATTGTTTACCGCTCTGCTCCAAATGCAACATGTTGTTTTTCTGGGCGGGCAACTTTAGATGACAAAAGTAACACTAGCAGGCACTGCTTTCAATCTCTTTGTAGCATCAAAACTGTTGTTGCACCAGCTTATCTTCTCAAAAACCTGTACAGAGAACCCTGGCTGCAAATACGTTAACTTGTTCAGATACTGAGCACCAAGTCAGACTGCCCTGCAAAGCATCCAGAGATGCACACTCTAGGTATTTATCCAAATTGCAATTCTGCTTCTTAACACCACACAAGTTACACAGACGCCTTTTTCTCCGACCATCGCTTTGAGTAACCTTGTGGGTTCCGTGCCGTGGCTTACGATCATCAAAGGCGGAGCTGCTGTTGAAACACCTGTGACTGCTTTGCAGCGGTTCCATCTGAACATGGACCTGCTTTTCAGTCAATGCTTGCCAGGCTTTAATCTCGACAGCCGTGGTCTGCACTGGCCCCGGTGAGAATTTTTTTCAGGCTTTGTCACGTTGCAGCCGCTCTTAAACCGGCCAGAAAGACGCTGCAACTTCTGCCACTGTTCTCGATGGCTGCAGCGTGAAGGTTAAGTAATGTGGTGGAGACACCGACCTGAGGTTACTTTGTTGTTATGGCGTTGTTCGTGAAAAACCGAAGGTCCCTCTGGTACCTTTTCCCTTGAAAGCACGAACCCTGACCTCTCACACAAGTGCGGACAGCTCTCTCTTTTTCACAGTCAGAGCCACTTGAGCCAAAAGTCACGAAGTGTACAAACTAAACGAATTCTCTCTTGTGAGCTTAAACTCAGCTTCAGAACGAAGTTCCTACACACTGCACACTCACTTTAAATAGCGTATTGGGCAAAAACACACTCGTATGATTTCCTTGGAAATCAACGAGGCATAAACCATCGAGGATGGGATCACACGGATTCCCAATCACTCCGAAGCAAAACAAACCTATACAAGCTGATCCAAAACATGACAAAAACATCAATGATCAGCCACAATCTTCCACCCCCCGCATTTTGCTGAGGGTTCATGTCAAAGATCTGAAGTCCAAGCCCAGCTCGGCACTTCAACACTAAGGGGATGCCCTGGCCACATTCCCTTGGTGCGTACTCGCCACCAAACGAAACAAACAACACACCAGTCGATCTCTGACATCAAACTTAAAACTCATGCAAGATCCCACCATCAGGCAGGTTGTCCTGGGTCCACATCACTGGTAACCCAAGAGTTCGTTGTCCAAACACGTGAAAAACGAATTAAACTTGCATCCACCTGCACTGGGGCAGGGTTGTCTTGGAACGAATCCAAGAGTTCGTGGTGACAAACACGTGAAAACGAATTAATGCAAGCTTCAGATGTTTCCCACTCAGCACTCGACCTTGTCGTGGTACTCCTCCTCAGTCTCGCATCTTCCAGGTCACCAAACTCACCAACTAGCATCGGCTAGCTGATCCTTCAAGAAAAGATTGGCTTCATAGTTT